ATTATAAGTATATATTTGCCTGTATTTCATTCCTATTAACCGATTGTGTACATGAAGGAGTATTAAACTGCAAACCACTGGGATTGTGGATACTTGAAAAACTATAGAGATATATTAGCGTGTATTTCATTTGTAGCTTCTATGTACTTGAAGCAGAATACTAAACTGAAACTAGTGTAATTGTATGTTTCAAAGAAAAGTCAATAAAGTGAAACTGAAAAAATACAATAAACATTTGAGGTGTTGCGTGTGTAGTGTACGTATACGTGAACATGTTACACATCTGGTGACAAAGTTATGTGGCTGAAGAAAAGTTTATAAGTTTTATTTGCCTATTAAATAAATGCAATATGCAAGGGCATCAAGGCTTAGTTTTCTGTAACGCGCATTATGCATATACTGTGAAGTATATATAGATCCAGCAGAAGTTCATACACGATTGTACGTGTTTATAATTTTGCCCACACGCAATGAATGGAGCTCGACAGGAGGCACACCATTGATATTCAGGACCACTTTCTTCAAGTAGTGTGTAATCATTGCATGCTGATATCTATTAGTGCAGTCTAAAAGAATACTGGCACCCCTGCCATGGGCACTCAACACCCTTGTGCACCCTTCTCGCATCCTCCTCAGTGGGTGCGAAAAAAGTGAAGGACATTGAAGGCACCCTTCTTTAAAGGTGTTTTTGTAACACCCAACAGTTTTTTACATGTACACCCTATTCTAAGGGTGCATGGAAAATCACCCTTTTTGGTAGGTGCTGAATTAACACCCTTAGGGTGTCGTCCATGGGACAAGCTTATTTACGCCCTTCTTCGTGTAAAAATTTTTACTGTGTACTTTTGTTAGAGTTGGTGCGTGCTATAGTGCCTAAAATACTGTAGGCACTGTACCCACAGAATGAATTCATTGATAAAGAATAATCATTGCAATTAACCATTGATTCCCCTCCCTTTAAAGGAGCCCTCCACACGTGTATGTCCGCCAGACGACACCGACGATGCTAAGGGGGTGAATGAGAGTTACGTAGCACTCTGTGGTCACTCAAGGGTGCTTATAAAGTAAGATATATGGTCTAAACAATCAGTGTCTGCATAAGATATAGTTATTTGCTAAATTTTGTTCCCTCCACCTCCTTGTATAGGTTATCGAGTTCATGGGCATAAATTGTGAACATATTTAAATTTTTACATGCTATACAAGGTTTATTTCTTCTTTGCTAGATCAGTTGCCATCCTGTGCAAAATAAAAACACACTTCTATGGGTGATTTTAGAATAAGCTATGAACACTCGAAGAAAGCTATGGCACTGTATACAGACATTCCCCTAACTGCTTGGCATGCGATCAGCTCGCCACCTTCCCTCATTTGATGTAGTGGTGCCCGCGCATGCGCGTTTTAACAAGGAAGCATCACGTAAACGATACGGATTTCTTAGAATGTATCATAAGTCCACACCATGCGAAACAACTCCGGGTGGTGCAGGGAGCCTGTGATCGGGAACCTCTGGTCCCCGACCCCCATAGCGTTTCTCACAGTCATACCTAGAGGGAAATCTGGCGCTAGTGAGCTGCTGGATGCAAAGGAATGACGGGATACGTGAGCTTCGAACTTGACTCGAATTTCTATTCCTCGAAGACGCGTCTGGCTTCACGGTAAAATGGTGGATTTCTTACTAAAAGAGCACGTAACAAGCTATTTATTTTTTGTCATTGCACCAAAACGTGTTTTATTTAGCACTAGAAAGTTCTACCTTTAGGCACATTTTTACGAAGCGTAAGAAGTAACCAACGGCCGCTAAACTTGGCAGGCAGACGATAAGAGAGCGTTCCCTCCGCCTCTTTTATGACGTCCATTTCTTTCTTTCGCCGTTTGATTGTGCCGTTAAGGTAAGTGGACTTTTATTTTAAAATATATTACGCATGAATGAGATCGACCTATAAACGTTTTGTTTTAGTAAAGCTTTATTTACGCAGTCGTATTTACTTCTGAGCTGAAGCCTCGCTCAACACCAGCCACCACAAGCCTCCCAGACACATATATCATCATTCTCTGCGCTGCAACATAGCCCCTTAAGAAGTTCGCATATGTTGTGGCGCCACACTTCCATCTACGTGTTTGTGAGAAACTCTATGCCCCACCCCGTCGCAGGTGCAGCCCTCAATGGGCTCTTAGAAACCTTCTTCCCAGGACACAAATCGTTATTCTATCTGTCTGTGATTCAAAAAGAAACGCCCAGTTGGTGTATCATAATTATGCTTGTTTAATTATTACGCACGTAGGTATACGTTTGTCAACAAGAATAAATACAATGTACTGAAAATTGGCTGTTGCATTCTGTCTGTCTTTTTTTCTTCCATCAGTGCCATACGATTTTAATGTGAAATAAGGCTTCGTTGCAGAGTAGTGTGCTACAAAAACGACATGACGTTTTAGGAGAGGGCGGACCGGTAAGTACATGAGGCGCTCTTGAGGAGAGGTTCTCAGCCAAAGTAAAGGTTGATTGATATATTTGTGGGGTTTAACGTCCCAGAATCACCACATGATTATGAGAGATGCCGTAGTGGAGGGCTCCGGAAATTTCGACCACCTGGAGTTCTTTAACGGGCACCCAAATCTGAGCACGTGGGCCTACAACATTTCCGCGTCCATCGAAAATGCAGCCGCGGCAGCTAGGATTCGAAGCCGCGGCCAGCAGGTCAGCAGCCGAGTACCTCAGCCACTAGACTAACGCGGCGAGCGTATAAGCAAAGTTTTTTATTTTGATACTTTTTTCTAGCAAGCAACATCATGCCGTCATTTCGAAAGAGACCTGAACACAAGCCGTTTCTGACAGCGAAACACTTACAGAATACCGTGTTATTTTATGCTTGTGCTGTATCAGCAGGAATACACCTGTATGTTCTGAACAGTTCTGGCTTTCCTTTATTATGTTTTACAGGCACCATCGACAAGTTTGCCATTTAGGTTGCCACGAAAGTTCAACAAATTTTCGTCAGTACTACGTCGTATAAATAACCACTATTTTTTTTTCATGTGGCCATTCCAACAGATGTCGAAGTCAGGTTATTCTTCATTGACCAGCCATGTGCTTAGTAACGAACAGGTGTTATTCGGGCATTAGTAGCAGTTCTGGCTGCGCAGCAATCTGCTTTTTGAAAATGTAGCTGTGAGCAACAGCGTTATCATTAGGTAGAGGGGTCCTCCCCGGTCGAACTGTTTCCCGACACCGTAGCACTCATGAGTGGCTGACACAGTGATCGTATAATTCGTAGTGATGGCATCCCTGCATTTAGGAACTTTTCTGGAGTCCCGTACATTGCATACCCTGCCGGGTTGACCAGAACGTCCTGCACCTTCGACAAGTCTCACTTCTGTCACATCGTTGCAACTACGGTGTAATTACCGGCTGGTGTGCATTATTGGTCAGTGGAAGTTTTCTGCAAGGTCCTCCACAGGCTTACCTTAAAATTTTTGGCAATTGCACGCTTTGAGAGCCTTGACCACCGTGTTCCCTTTGAAACGGCACTACATGCATGTAATTTTCACGGCATCCCTCCTTTAAGCATCCCTCCTGTCACAATTTCAAACCTCTCAGGCTCGAAAACACTCAAACGAACGCACAAAACACGAGCAGCTGAACTACGAAGAGACGCACATTACTATATTACAAAGAGGCGCCGCGCTGGGGAACGCTGGTTCTTTGGACTCGCGATGAACGCGCAATCCTCCGGCGTACCGTAACCATTTTCCGCTTGATGAGACCACCCCACTTGACACAATTTTCCCACTTGACATTTTTCAAGTGGGAAAATTGTATAACTAAGCCCTCCTCTTTTCACGGTTGGTGTTCGTTACGCGCGGCCACTGACTTACCTGGTGAGGCAAACTATGAAGCCAGGAAAAATATTCTATGCTTTCTTTACTAGCTTTATTTGTGCTTAGATGTGCCACTTTTGGCTCGATCCCAGATAAAGCAACTTGACTTTTGATTTCATAGATAGCGCTACTACCAAAAAACTCCTGCAAGATTTATCATTCATTAAAAATATTTTCCTTGAAGCACTGGGTTGTCAAGTTAGTAAGCACAAGTAGATACAAGGCACAATATACACCTAATATATGAAATAGTCGTTGGTAATCAGCGTCTAAAAAGAAAAAAGCGAGTTTTTACGGAATTTGAAAGCAGGAAGAAAGCCTGAATTCAATGGTGTTTTGTGGGTTCTCTAAAAAATATTAAAAAATTTTCTTCATAGAATCATAGAAAGGGGCCTGCTGCTCCGAAATAAAGCAGTTCAGAGTATCAGCTTGTATAGTTTTGTCACTTCATCGGTAATGCGTGAGCAAGTACAGCCATGAACTGCCGCATTCACACAATAATTATTCAACTTTTTGTCACAGCACAAGTGAACTTCGCGTAGAAGCTTAGTGTAAAGTAGTCTGCAAGTCCACTAAATAATATGGTTCTGCTTTGAAAAGAAAAAAAAAGATATTCACTAGCAAACTTTCATTACTTTGCTCAAATTTGTTGAAGCGTAAGTACATTACTGAATATCTTGTAGCTAATATCTCGTCATCGAAACCTTAAATAGCGCTTTGTCCAAAGGCACAGTAACTTTCGCCTTGCGATGTCAAACGGTTTCGCCGTACTAGCAGTACGACGGAGGCTTGTACAAAGAAAATGCTTTTTGTTGCTCACACTATTTTCATTGCTATAAGGGAACGCTCCCAACCAAGCATTAGCACCAGATGTCATCGGAAAACGGAGTTCATAAAATTTTGGAATTATCACAATTTAAATTAGTTCGTCAAACGCAGCGAGCACAGTGCGTCTACAAACAATGCGTAAAATTCAGAATAGTGTTCGCCAGCGTGGGACCGCCACCTTAACGCAGCCATACCTGAAAAAGCCTCCGCGCCGTTTCAGCTGCACCATCATGCCCGATAGAGCCAGGAAAAACACTCTGACCACATGCGCTCAGAAATACACAAGTGAATATTTTTGTTTGTCTTTTATTGACTTCATTCTCTAAGCTTGTAGATCAGTTTCATCGCAACATTCGAGAATAAAAACAAATGCACACCACTGAGAATAACAACACACCTCACACAGCGTAACGAGACGTACTCACAGATGTACACGCACGCATAGTAGAAAAATCACGGCAGGCAACGCCTGCAGGTCTTATATGACGTCAAGGAAGGGATCACAAAGGGCGTTCATTTGTATAGTTCCTTGACAAAAAAAGGTATGCTAAAAACGCAGCCCATCCGCCATCCTGAATTGCTGAATTGGAACGGGAAACGTTAGAAAGTAAAAACTTCGATGCAGACGACGCCTTGGCCCTTCGCTGCTACTTGACCAGACCACGTCTAATAAACACTTTTGGCGTGAACATATGCCTAAGTAACATAGCGCATGTTTGGAGGAACACAAGCCTCACTGAATTTCATGAGTAACGTAAGCGTCATAACGAAATTTTGAAGAAAATGTGCGCTGCGAAAAGTTGCGCGGAGCACAAATACCCGCATGAAAAGTTGACAACAAAGTTGCGAAGAAATAATTCCTTTCTTTTTTTTCTGTTTTTGCTATTGCCCTGGTCATAGAATTTGAATTAGACATTCTACATTATAGAAACAAAACACTGGAAAAATCTTTTAATAGAGGTGTCCGAGCGTCAAAGTTGCGTGTCGATCAATGAAACCGGAATTTAGAAGCCGGTCTGTACTGGGACACGACCAGTTTAAAAATATATTCAAATTTCGCTGAAAATTGTTGTCAACCATATCGACGATGACTCGCACACAAAATACGTGAGTAACCGCTAATGGCCTATTGTTCACTAGAGTATCGTCTTCGTTACGTCCCCTAGGTGGTCAAAGTTTCTGGAGCCGTCCACTACGGCGTCTCTCATAATGATATGGTGGTTTTAGGACGTTAAAAACTACATATCAATCATTCAATCTTCGTTACGTCAGTGAAGAAAAAAAAATGCATCGGCTCAGCTGACTTGAAGAGTAATGGGGGCGTCTGCAAGCATCACGTGCAATTAACAATTTCAGTGATCTGCGCCCAGCCACTTGAGATAGTACGAAGGACACTATCAAAAGCTGCTTTCCTATTTGGCTGCGACCGATGCAGAACGTATTACGTCAGATCAAAATGTTGGTCATTGGACATTTCTTACATTGTCTCGCAGTCAAATTGTGTGAGCACTTAAAATAACAATATTACGCATTGATTGCGGTGCTTTGTAAAAGTTCGTATTTTTTCTGCAGTTTTACAGCGAATATACATCTAAACCGATGTTTTAGGCGTCATTTATAGATTTTATTGATTTATTGTCAATCAGCTAAAAATAGAGAGCCTAAATCAAGAATCAGGTACGAGTCATGTAAGCATTGCTATTAAGGCTATAAATGGCGTGACAACTTCATAAACAAAGCATCCGATGGGAATGTGTTCAGCATATTCTAGATTCGCTTGAGTACTTTTCTCGAAATGCTCGAGACTCGAGGGAGTTAAGTATTACGCAAGCAGGCGGCAATTAAATTGAATGTACTTTCCTTACTCGCAGTATAGTGGGACACCAAGAACCATGAAAGCCTCATCGAAATAAAAAATGACTCGTCTGATGAACAATACACTCCGCAAAATACAAACCACAGCGTCGTTTCATGTTCGGTCGAAAAAAAGAACGTCGTAACATGTTACTCAGAAGTTTTAAAACACGTACATAGACTTGACTAGCGACTTGGAGCACAGCTTCAGACTCGCCTGTCGAGGGCGCAGCACGACGAAATCTTCCTCTGAACAAGTATTCGCGCCTATTCAAGGTAAGCCAAAATGCATGACACCGGCATACTGCTGTTGTACATTCCTTGTTTCTGTTTTTTTTTCCTCCTAGGGTGAGTTAACATATAATAACGTTAACGAATCTTAACGGCTTGCTGCTAAATGATCGCCATAACTTCCAAGAGAGTGGCAATCTGGGCTTGTTGGTGTAGCTTCACAATTTGTGGTAGCGTAGGCTAGCGCCGATGTACGAGCGTAGTTCACAGTTAGTTCGAGGTAGCTACGCACACGTGGCGTATGACGGTGTGATAGTATATATACAAGTGGAATCAGGAATTATTGAAGCAGTTGGTTAATGTAAGCGCTGCGTTGTGTCGTATGTGTCTTCATTTTATGCTTGTTCAAATCGTTAACTGCATTTAGTTATTTATTTTGTAAGGATTTCGTACACAAAGAAATAGGTGATATGCCTTTATATTACGAGCACATCTGCACGACATTGGCCAAGTTCCACACGCCGAACATGTACGATAGCTGCCTTGTCTTTACTTCAGCGCTCACACCACCAACAGACATTAGAATTCCGGGGATGAAATCGCAAAATGCATTTAGCAACACAAATTAAATATCTACGCCCTCCTGAGAATGCACGATAACATTCATATATCTAAAAATAAACAAAGCTCTTTAAAAAAAACACACAATGAAACAAACTAATTATTTAGGCAGCTAATTCGTATACGCGGGGTTGCATCCAAATAAGTCAACTCCTGCACACGGCGTTAAATGTCACAGATCTACTTATTACACATGCAAAAATGAAACTCCTCGGGCGAACTTTGCTCACACGTGTGACGGTGTCGGCGACAAAACGGTATGATGAGCACGTCTTGCAAGGAGGATGAACTGCCAGTTTTGATATGATGAGTATGAAGCCGCTCGGCGGGCAGTATTTCTGCAATGCCCCGTAGGTAACACAATGCATTTGCGACGCCCACAGCGTGCACTCTTTCACCCTTAGTAAAGTACAGATTTTCAAGAACTCACACAGCTTCAATGTCGCATTAAACCTGCGCTGTCCAGAGATATAAAGATGCTCCGCAGGAATCTTTGCAAAGCTCGGCAATTTTCGCGCGTAGTGAGAAAACAGTACCCGACAGAGGCACATCGTAATTGCGTTACCTGCGGCGCATGGCGTAAGCTCGATTTCGAGGTGCGTCGAGATATCCTGGCGACAGGTGACACCTAGAGATAACCACACATATGACAACAGAGCCACAAAAGCACAACCCACGACACCAAAAATAGATGGCGCTCGACGCACATTTACAAGTGGAACACGTCACTGATATCCACACACAGTTCACTTGCAAACAGTCATGTCAGTACAGCTTAGACGAAAAGGGCAGCCACTGTTTTGATATGCAAGTTTACTTCGCTGGCGAAGTTCTGGAGAACACAACACATTCCACTCTTCAGTGTGCCACTGAACAAAGTCACGAGAGACCACTATTAGCATGAAACTAGACGTCATAATGACTCGCATCGCAACCCTTACACTTTTTACAATAAATATTTGAGCACACATTGATCTCCTCTTCAATATCCCACGCAAACGAACACTAACAGTAGTTCTATGGTCCATTCGATAAGATTCACGGTCCCACTGGTGCATCACAACTTACAGTGCTGATGTAATGAGTGCCAGATTTCCTATCATCCTCCCGAAACATAAACGTCAGCCACAGAATGCTGGATTCCGGAGCATTTTGATCAAGCGTAGCTCCGAGTCCCCACACTGAGCTCCGTACCCGGAACGCAAGGCAATTTGACGGACGCCCTCGCGACAACAGCCAGAACTTGCAGTGATGGCCACGTGAAAATACGCCTGTCTCTCGTTAAAAGTGTTCAACTCCTTCGCGCACGAACGCATCCGAACCACGGTGCGACGTTTGCGGGGACCAGACACCACGGCCCCTGTCTTCTAGCGCCAGAGTGGCCGAAGACTCTGTCCTGTCTTCGTCCATGAGCGAACTCGAAGACCTCTCGGAGTCCGAGGGGCTCTTGATGCCAGAGTAGGCAACCTGCTGGCAGGTGTCTCCGATAATTGGCAGATGGCGCGCCCTGGGCGACGAAGCCAGGGCTGCCGTCAAAGATCCTAGGATGGTCCGGTCCGGTGCCGGGGCCACCATGCTGTTGTTGAGCATAGCTGGGCGGCCGAGAGACCGGTAGCTGCCGCCCTGTTTGCAGCGGCCCGCCTGGTTCGGTTGCGTGCGCCAGCCGTCACACGACTGCGAATGGTGGTGCGCGTCTTCGTCGATGGTCTCGTACACGTGGTCGTTGCGCGAATAGGGGTCCGGCGGTTTCCACGAGGCGTCGTCGCTGCTGCGCAAATTGTTCGGCGGCCACTGAGTGTAAGGCAGGCAGTCGGGCGGGGGCTGCGCTGCCTGCGGGGGATGCCACGCATTGCAGATCCAGCTACGGAGAGGGTGCTCCTCACACGGGTAATTGCTCGTCACCGTGGCTATAGATGGGAGACCTGCACAGAGAAAGAGCACATGCTTGTTCCACACACGGGAGTCACTTCCGTGCACTGTGCATGCTCTCGACGCCACAGACATTGCGAGAGACAATAGTTCCCCTAGAACTCCTGCGCATCGAGTGCAATAAAAATTGATGGCGCATATTTCGCAATAAAAACAGAAGTATCTGTTGGCCAGTCACGTTACTGTTGGCGTTAAACTGTTCCAACTAAATGGAGGCGAAAATGCTGTAGACCCCTGTTATCAGATTCGGGAGCACAATAAAGAACCCCAGGTGTTCGAAATTTCCGGAGCCCTCCACTACGGCATCTTTCATAATCATACGGTGATTTTTGGACGTTAAACCCCAAATATAAATGAATTAAGCTGTTCGTTGATACCGTAGATTCGCAAGTCAGGGCGACGCCATCAAAAAGATTCAGGAGAGAATGGAGCGCTATATGCAGGTGAGGAAAGTGCAGACAGAAAACTACTAAGCGCATTCACAGGCACATGAGCTAGATTAAAATACCGGCCATCCTACGGAACCTTGCCAAAAAAAAATGAAACTGATTTGCCATCAACCGAATTTAGTAACGCCTACACGAGATAAGGACGAACTGGAACTTCACATCTGCACAAGTGTGTTGAAAAACCTTCCATGCAAGGCCCTCTAGACGACTCGAACCCAGGTATTAAAGACAATGAGTCACCCCTGAACATACCTAGTCTAACACTTCACCGCGAGATTTTAGCATTCTCCATTTTCCAAAGTGCACCATCAAGTCACTAACTTTTGTTGCGTGAAAATGGAAACGCTATACTAAGAAAGGGAAAAAATTGTACTTCCTCTCAACCACACCTCACATCGTCTGTTCAATAACATCAGTGCGCTACATCTGCACGGCATCCATATAAAGTATATCTGTAAAACCGATAGCGTGATGACCCACGACATATTGCTGCCATAGGTATTCAGACATACCTACGGTTCCGACATGGCTAACGTTATCCTGACAAGAGGTAGCGTTCTTATTTTGTGCGGTTCAGGTCATGACTACGTACATGAAACATAATTATATATATATATATATATATATATATATATATATATATATATATATATATATATATATATATATATATATGCTTCTCCACACAATGCCGCGGAACTGACTCTTGCTTCCCCCTTCGTCATGGATGTAGAGTTTTTGTCGCAGTTTTCAAAAAGGTATGAACGCAAGTGCATTTTTTAGGCTTCCTAAAATGGCGAGAATACATAGCTAGAAATAGTAAAATGTGGGTACAGACAGAACACTTTATTAACAAGCTGTCAGTTAGAATTGACGAGGCACATTAGTTAGGTCATTATTTTCAAGAGAGAAATAGTAAACGGCCCCCATTTTAGGATGCATGTCATGCTAATCTATGAACAACACCTCCCTCCCCCCTATTCCTTCAATGCAGAGGGTTTCTGATCACTTGAACCATTCCACAAGGGGTCCCCCAAACATGTACGGCTGTGAACCACTGCTCTGGAGCAGCTAGGTGTCTTTGGAACTTAATTCATTCCATGATTTGGGATGCTGATAGCCGGGGTCAAACGCGACTTCACGTGCTTGAGTAGGACCACGACCCCGTACACAACCCTGTTTCAAACACGGGGCCCGCGGACACTTCGCAGGCAGCTCGCCGCGGACGTGATGGTCTTCGTCCAACATGTTTACAGCGAAAGCTGTTATGAGGTCACAACAAGGATCGTTTTTGGCACTGTAGTTGTCCGCCAGCGCCGTTGCCCGGAACCACCACCGCACAAAATAAGGAAAAAAGCTGAGCAAATAAAAAGCCTCCAAGAGACAATGGAGTTCGAACGCGAGTGCCTTGTGTGCCAGCCCCGCATTCCGCCAGATTCACGCCGGTGCTCGAAACACCGCTGCCAGTTGACCAGGTATGCTTCATGTCGGAAAAGGAATCGCGTTAATATGTCTCATAAAGAACCGCAGTTGAACGACCAGACGTCACACAATGCGAACTGCATAACTTGTGGGTCGTAGATTGCTGAAACCCACTGAAAAAGCCTTAGGCGAAGGTGATGATGATGATGATGGCCTATATGAATAACTCACACCCACTATGGGGGATCGGCCAAGAAACAAATAATGCATAGAAGCGACCACATATTAACTGTATATAATCCATTTAATACACATGGTTAGAAAAAAGTACTTTACTAAATTAGATTATTGCGGTCAAAACCACCCTGATTCGTGTAATAACATTTATATAGCGGAACTATATGCATTATTCTTCATTGTCCTTAGCCACAGCATGAAAAAAAAAATTACACAGAACTCTTTGCAAGTGTGTTGCGGGTACCACACTTTTCAAAAGAATGATGAAGAATGACATTTTGAATGTCTCCCTACTACACAAAAATATGACTTATGGCGCAGTGGGTATCATGCAAGTGTGTTTATAGCAGTTACACAAACAGTGTTTAAAAAGGCTCTGGTAGGCCTCGTGTTTTTTTTTTGTTCATGAGTTGCATAGATGCGAGTGGACTAGAGCGTATTTTTCTTGAGGCACCTCATGCAGTCACCCTAGACGGGCCCTTAAGGGTAAATAAATGGATGGTGGGAGTCCCGGATGGTGCACTGTTCAGTGACTGCGGTCCAGTCAATGAGGTGTCAGTAATAGGCGGAGGCTCTAGAACCTCCAGCAAATTTTTCTTCACCAGTGGTTTGTAACAATGGAACGCGCCACCCCAGTATAGAGTAAATTAATAGGGTCTCAATAAAGGTTGGCCCCCACTCTCATGTTCTTTTTTTCCCTTAATCTGTCAACTGTACTATTATTTCATGTGTGCCAGGGTCATCTGAATGCGTTTATAAAGTTTGTAGAACCGGTTGCCCCACCTTTACTTTTCCCTTTAGAAATTTACACATGCACACAGTACTTTTCAGTTTTTTATTGCTGTGTATCAGTGATTCAATTGCTATAAATGCACTTTCGCCTACCCCCCCCCCCCCCCCCTTTTCATGTAGTACCCTGAAAAGTTCGCTCAAGGGAAATAAATGCTAATGACGACGACGAGAACGATCTACTTTTGACATCCCCGAAAACAACGCGAAGTTCTATGCCCGTCGTTACGGGGCTCAAGTCGGCTCGCAGAAGAACATTAGGACTCTGCCTTACGAAGTTCAGAGTTGCTACTACAGCTACGGGCTGTCCGGAGAGCCCACGATGCGGCGGTGAGGCTAGGCCTCCCCGTTCCTACGTGGGAGCGGCCCGCGACGTTGCTCTAAAGCAGTAGCGTTTCTCAGGACCCAATAATGTTCTTTGTCTGTCTCTCTGTCTATGCTCTCATTGCAGAAGTGAGCCAAGATGAGCTCAGCTACACAAGTGGAGTCTGCGTGACCTCTCACCTTGTGTGGCATGGTTCCTTGTGTCTTGTGTGACCTCGGATGACTCGTGCTCCTTCAGAGAGCTCCATGATTGCGGGGTAGACTACGTCAAGAGAAAACGGAGAGAGAACAAACGCGTAAATCACGTTAATAACACCACGCACCGATATACACTAGCTGCAAAGGAACGAACCTTGACAAGCGCCTGAAATCTTAGACGCCTTCACCATCTGTGCAGAATATTAAACAGCACACACAGCCTGAACAACTCTATAGGTGGCGACACACTAGTTCGTAAGCCACGATAGTGATGAAGCAACACACCTAAACATGACATGTTCTCATACAAATTGAGCTGGCTGTCTAGAACAAGTGTTTCACCGAACCGTATAGCAGTTTCGAATGCAGCCGCAGCATTCGTTAGGGCACGCGACGAAGCGGTGGCATGTTTACTCCAGTAGCGGCACCTCGCGGCGCAATGGTGCACTACAACCAACGACCGCTTCCAATTGAAATCCACCCAGGCACTGTAAAAATAGAGGAGGCGCTGACCCGGGTGATCTGCATGGCCCGGGTTCCCCACTGCTCTGCTGACGTACTTCCGTCCCGAAAGTGACGTTGAAAATATATACTAAGCGATTGCAAAGAAAAAACCCAGAAGGCAAGCACCTGTCGCGCGGGATCAAACCAGCAACCTCTTTAATGACAACGCGCGGCCCTAACCACTACGCCACATAGCGTACGTTGTATGGTATGCTAATGGCAAGCTATTTATACAAACCATACATCGTTTGGCAGTCCTTCGACCTTCGGAACTTAAGCGCGTTTTCGTTATCAATGGGGACATGGCGCGGCAGGCTCCCGCTCGTTGCCTTCACGGAGCGTGGTCTCTCCTGCGCGCGCAGACTCGTTTCGCGAGAGAACGAAGGAGACTTAGCACGCTGCCACAACTGCGTTTACGAAAGGAGCACGCTACTGAAACACGGCACAGGAATAACTGTGACACTTCGCGCTTGTTTTGCGTAAACTTGTGCGCTTGTTTCGTGCCTCTTTCTGTTTGAACAGCGCGCTTTCAGTATCGATATTGTGGGCGCACGACCTATTTAAGGCATGCACCTACAATATCTCTGCGAGCTTCAAAGCTCAAGTTTCCCGGCTTAAGGCTTCAGTGTCGAGCTGTGACAGTTTTTAGTCGGCTCTCGTCCTGTGTACTCGAATTTCGCACGTGCTTTCTGCTAGAGGTGTGCGCTGCGAAATTCAAGCTGCTTGCCGTTCCTAATGGGACTTTGCGATTTCTTGCTGTTGCTTAAACTATGCACAATAAACAACAACTACCTCTGTAAAGACACGTTTCTTTTTGGTGTTATACCGATTTCTATGTAGTCCCCGCCGCGGTGGTCTAGTGGCTAAGGTACTTGGCTGCTGACCCGCAGGTCTCGGGATCAAATCCCGGCTGCGGCGGCTGCATTTACGGTGGAGGCGGAAATGTTGTAGGCCCGTGTGTTCAGATTTGGGTGCACGTTGAAGATCCCCAGGTGGTCAAAATTTCCGGAGCCCTCCACTACGGCGTCTCTCATAATCATGTGGTGGTTTTAGAACGTTAAACCCCACATATCATCTATCGTTATCGATTTCTATGTAGGGGGCTCATTTACAATTTTTTTGCGCGTACTGGCACTTCTCTGCTTGCCGAAGAACGTCTGCAGGCTAGTTCGTTTGCCATGCTATGTTAGTGCTGTGCTAACTTTATCACGTTAGTCAGCGCTGCATGTTCCCGCATTTAGTCGCACTGTTTACTTATATTACGTACACTCTTAAAAATAAAGCTCGGCATATTGACTAACTAAATAATAAACATTCACTTGTCACATAAAGCACTAGCCTCATCGTAAGGGAAGGTAGTAAAATGCAGGTTAGCTAATTTCACTACCAACTTAGTATGTGAAGAGTGCTAACTCTAGTGGCTAGTTCATTACTAAAGTGTTAGTAACGCCCGCAAATAGACGTTTACGCCTATTTTGTTAAATGTGCGTGTGCGCTACCCAGGCGGGTTGCCAGAAATTTTTTCGGGAGAGGGGAGGGCACCACTTCGGTTTCGGGAGGGGCACCCCCTTAAAATGGCCCTTTTTCGCTCTCTACGCCATGGCGAAAAAAAAATTTGGGAGGGGGGCGCATGTCCGGTGTGCCACCCCCTGGCTACGCCCCTGGCATTACCATATCAAAATGATTCTATTACAAAAGTATAGGATAGAAAAACGAATTCACGTGGTCCTCGTAAATTAATTAATGGCTTCTAGCTATGTATGTAACTACACTGTGGTAAGAGCGCATCACAGCAACATACTTACAGTGAACTGACCACATGATTATTTGATCAAATCATATTCACGTATAAGCATTCATATGATGATGTTCATTATCATATGAGCATATGATATGCACATACGAGTCTTCATACTCGCATTATTACATTGTAGCGTAGCTTTCTGGTCACTACTTCGTCACCACTGAACAGAGGATCGACACGTACACACAGCATCTCTATAGACTTTCTCCTGAACTGATATATTTGGTTTGTTTGACGTTGTACACACTTGTACGCTACATAACTGGGAGAACTCTGCGCAGCGCACGCTGCAACCTGCTCCCTCGTCGTCCCCAAAGCCAGTCCCCCCCCCCCCCCCCACCGGCTCCTCTGGCAACATCCCGAGAGCCCGCCGGGAGACCAAAACCAGAAATCACCACAAAAACATCTCCGCGGACGATTCAATTTGGGTGGAACAAATTCAAAGAGGCCCATCCAAACGTGGGGGCCTCCGCCAAGTTTCACCTCGAGGACTGCTGTCCTAAACTAAACACACACAGGAAACTACCACGACAGCCGTTTAGGCTTCCACAGGGCAGCTCCCCCGCAGACTATCCGGCGCCGCGAAAAGCCGCTCGCGACCCTATTCATGAGAAACAACCTTTCACAGGAAGGAAGCGAACGCTCGCACAACAAAGCCGGTGCGACCACCACAACCCTACTCTTGCGCGACACAGAAACCAGCCAAAAGTTAAAAGAAAGTCGCTACAGCAACGTTTAACGTTTACGCGATTAGTATGAAAACTCATATGAACGGGTCACGAGAACAAGCAAGCAAACGCACGCCCAAGTAAATTTTCAAGACTTGGACATGGCAGAGTTCTATTGTAGCAGCAGCTTAAAGGCTAAGTTACAAATGTAAGTTACAAATGCCCACAATATATACACCTCTGCTTTGGGATCGCACATCGCGTACTGGTTAGCAGTGACAGAATTTATAGGATAGTTGTTGTTTCCTACGTATCATGTCTCCTATTTGCTTACGTGTGGGCCATTACGTAGCACGAAACTTTTATTACAAGGTAGTCAATAATAGTAAAGCTTGCCTAAATATTGTTTACAATGTCACCATTACGACGAAAATGCAATGCGGCATCTACGAAAGATCTAGAAACGTAGATGGCTTAGTAGTCGCTTAGTTAAAAACACGAAGAAACGTTCCCCGTTTATTAAGGACTATAGTTACAAGCTGTAACTGACAGCTCTTGAACACCTGTCTACACCACCGCCGAACGTTGTATTCCTGTAGGACGACGCGGACCGTCCTTATCTTCAAGAGAGGAGATCCGCAAGTCCCCTCCAAGTGGCGGCCCATAGCCCTCGGCTGCACGGCATCGAAGCTATATGCCAAGTGCCTTGCAGCCGGGCTGCAGGCCTGGATTATAGAACACGCCGTCCTGTCGAAGTGCCAGAAGGGCTTCCTTCCGCAGGACGGCGTGTTCGAACTTAACTACATTCTACAGCGCAGGCTCGACATCGCCCGATCGGGAGGCGCAGTTGGACTTCAACAACGCGTTTGGCTCGATCCCGCACTAGGCTTTGATTGACACCCTGCGCGGTGCTGGCACCGGCTACGTGTTCACGAAAATAATTGGCGACCTCTTGACGGGCAACAGCACCTGTATCATGGCGGCTGAGGGAACAACCGATCCGATCGCGATCCTGGCCGGGCTACGTCAGGATTGCCCACTCAGCGGTTTGCTGTTTAACTTAGTGGTCGACCCGGTCATCCGCGCAGTGCAGGGTGGTGATTCCGATGACAAAGTTTTCACCTACGCACACGACCTGACTTCCTTGGCCTCGACTCCACGCCGACTACAACAGCGAATCAATCGGATCGAGACCCTCGCCGCGTCCCTGGGCCTGTCCTTAAACCCGTAAAAGTGCGCGTCCTTTCACATGGTCGGATTGGCACCTGCGGGAAGGCGCCCGATGGAGTTCGCAGTTTCGGGCGTCCCCATCTCGGTACTGCTTAACTTCGAGCCGCAACGGTACCTGCGACGACCCATCGGCTTTCGGATCCCCTCCGGTTCCGGTTCCGTCGTCGACTCCGCCATCGACCAAGCCGGATCATGTCCTCGATGTTGGCCCTGTGACAGCGTCTCGATGCTCTCCGAATCTTCGTCTACCCGCCGCTCAACTTTCCGATGCGGTGCGGAGTTATGTACACAACGGACTGGCGCCGACTGAACGACGCCATTCGGCCGCTGGTGAAGCGCACGCTTTACCTGCCCACCAACGCGGCCACCAACTACCAAAATGGTTGATTGGGCGAGTTGGTGATACATGACTAATTATGAAATGGAAGCGCACAACGTAGAAGCAGACGGAAAGACAGGGACCAACTACATCTACGGTTCCGCCCCTGGTGGTGCCGTCGGGATGCCGGTCGTGACGGAGCTCAGCGACCTCTGCCGTATCGACTCCGCTTACAAGCTTCTCACGTCTCCCGACGCGAAGCTGCTGCAGCAGATGGCCTTGGACGACGCCTACGCGATCGCCACCGTCCGTCTCGGCTGGGAGGCCACCCGCGCGGAGCTAGAGGCCTACCTCGGGGGATCGCTTGGGGACGGATCAACTTGATCTAAGGACTGCGATGTATTACGCATTATATAAATAAATAAATAAATAAGCACACACACACACACACACACATATATATATATATATATATATATATATATATATATATATATATATATATATATATATATATATATATATATATATATATATAT